TGAATGCTATGCATTCTCAAATACCAATGGCTGCCTGCAGTAGATATTCATAATGGTCAGCAACTCAGAAAATCATAGTCATCTTCAGGGACCACTAACTGGATGATTACAAAGAGACCAGACTTCTGAAGTGTCCACGTGTCCTTCACATAAGGGCTTCTCTCCCAAGATGTCTGTGAGGAATGAAAGTTTGTATCTGCTCCAAAAAAATGACAAAAAACCCTCCCAAATACCAGAATTTCCACTGACCACAAAAGCCTGCTTTCTGTACAATGCATATGCTGAAGTTTTCTCTTTTGAGACTACTGCGACAGCGCTTTGGAAAGTACCATTATTTTGTGCTTTAAATAAAGCTGAGTCTCAAGCTGCAGGATGCTGTATAGGCTGGCTTGATAAATAAAACCTTTTAAGTTCAACTTCCCTTCCCTTCCTTCCCCCCCCCCCCCCCCCCCCCCCCCAAAAATTCTTGCTTATCAGAATCTGAAATGCTAATATTCCCCTGCACACCCTCTGCAAAGGGATGCTATATATTGTGAGGGCAGAAATAAGGTTGTTAGCAGCAGCAGGACTTACTTTGCATAAGATGATACATAACAGCACATGAACTACCAACAAAAATTCCCAGATAAAGAGCTACTTGCTTCAGTTTTCTTAAAACGACTGGCATTTTTTCTTCCTGGGGGAAGGAAGGAAAAGATATTTGTTGCATCAAAGGAAACCTAAAAGGTGGGGGGGGGTGCGCACGTGTATTTCCTTCCCCACCCCCTGCACATTCTGCCAAAGTGCTTTCAATATAGCAAAATAGTTTTGAACAAAAACACTGCGTGTAGCAATCAAGCTCTCTCTCTGGGGCCCCACAGGGCAGCCAGAGGAAATCCATGATGAGAACTGAGCACCTAAGCAGGGTAGAATATGTTTATTCTCTTCCTTTAGTGATGCCACCACTTCACTAATTGCCGAGAAGAAAATGACCTCCTTGGTGTGGCCAACAGCCAGAAACGCAGCATATTGTTCTCATAGCCTCCCATACATCCCCGGCAACAGTGCGAGTATTCAGACTCAGAGGGCTAGATTTCTCTTGTGTAACTCCACTAAAATACATGCACTTATGGCAGGGGTGAACTTGGCCAAAAGTCTTCAGCTGCGGAGCTAAGCTACAGCCCTACCAGTAAAGATAATGCTGCTGTGTGTTTTAAGTGATGGGTAAAAGGGAAGATTTTTGCAATCCTATTTGTTTCCTCTTTTTGCACATTTTATTTGCAATATTTGCTGGCAGAGAAATATTAGTAGACCGAATTCTTTTGCCCACGTGGTTTAATTTTCCTCCCGTGTCGAGATTCTTAACAAGTATAAAGAAGGTACCGCACTGCTCGGATCCACATTATAGCAAGACGGGGCTTAAAGAAACCTATCTAGATGCTTAAGCGTTCACAAAAAAATGGGGTAATGGGTAAATGAGGGGAATAATCCGAGCCCTGTTTCCAATGGTAAAAACCCAGGCCTACTGGTGAGCGAGAGAGTAAATGTTTGGAGGCAGCATGGGCATTGCCACCTGGATGCTTTAGCAGGCTACATTACCAGCCTTAAAAGCCTCCATCCCAAAATAAAACCCTTGTCTTGCTGAAATGATAAAAATGGTCTATAAGCTAAACCTATTTGCTGAAGTGCACTGCTAAGCCAATTACTGAAATATGATCTAGGCAAAGCCACTTACTTCCTGTTATGAAAATGGTCTCCGTCATCTCTCGTGTATGCAGTAGTCAGGCCTTGCTTTACCTGAAGAACCACAATTTAAGGGTGGGGTAACAAATGCAAAAACCTCTTCCTATCATGGTCTGAGCCAGTGTGACATAAGCATTGTCTGGCATGTTCCCCACCCTGCCTGCAACAGACTGATTGCCTGCATTTCTCTCCCTACTATGTTGCATGTTCTAGTCTAAAGGAAATGAGACATTTTAACCCAGAAATAGCTTTCACCTACTTCCTAATGTAGGGTTTAACTGTAAATTACACTGTACCATACCTTTTTTAAGTAGTTTGTGCCAACCAGATCTCTTGATTATTTTTAAAATCTTCTCAAGGAAGAGTTGCCCTGAAATCAGAATAATACATAACCCTTTTACACTGTTTGCGTTTTTAAAGTCTTCACATAAAACTAACCCTTAAAACAGTCTTGTGAGAGGCAAATATTCTTATCCCCCTTCTGCAGATAAGGTAATTGAGGTAGGAAAGTCAAGAGACTTAAACCATGCACAGTTCCTGTTTCAGACCTGCAAATAGTTCCTGGACCATTAGACCAGTGGGGAACCACCATTTTAGCAGGTGTGCTACAATGATCCCCCTCCCCTGCCTGATCTACTGCTCTGCTTTCTGCTCCCTGCCCTGTGCTCCCTTTCTGATCTTGCTGCTCTGCTTCCTGCCTTATCTGCCACTCTGCCATGTGCCACAACCAGAGGTTGGCCATCCCTGCACCAGATCATGACAGCAATCTGAGCAACTCATTTTCTCCCAACTTTTCTCTCCCACCTTTTCCCATCAGGCTCCTGCTCCAGAGAGCAAAATCAATAGGGTCATGGTGGCTTCCATATCCTCATGCTCTCCCATCTCTGTGGTCATTAACACAGGGTTTTTTTTCCTGTTCTTCTCTAACTGGTCTTGTTCACAGCACTACCGTGCAACTAATCTCCCCCTTCACATTACTCAAGTGCCTCAGAAAGGAGGTGATAAAATCATTCCTGTAGAGATGCTGCAAGGACCATGTCTTCCTCTTAAAGGAAATGCTACTTCTCACAAATAGTCACGTTCCAGAGTGTAAGAAACACCTGGAGGAGAGAGGGGGATGTTTGTGCAACAGGCTTCCTTAGTTGCAACCTGCTTGGGGTACCGTGCAGTTCATAGATTCATAGATGTTGGGGTCGGAAGGGACCTCAATAGATCATCGAGTCCGACCCCCTGGATAAGCAGGAAAGAGTGCTGGGTCTAGATGACCCCAGCTAGATACTCATCTAACCTCCTCTTGAAGACCCCCAGGGTAGGGGAGAGCACCACCTTCCTTGGGAGCCTGTTCCAGACCTTGGCCACTTGAACTGTGAAGAAGTTCTTCCTAATGTCCAATCTAAATCTGCTCTCTGCTAGCTTGTGGCCATTATTTCTTGTAACCCCTGCGGGCGCCTTGGTGAATAAATACTCACCAATTCCCTTCTGTGCCCCCGTGATGAACTTATAGGCAGCCACAAGGTCGCCTCTCAACCTTCTCTTGCGGAGGCTGAATAGATCCAGCTTCTCTAGTCTCTCCTTGTAGGGCTTGGTCTGTAGGCCCTTAACCATACGAGTGGCCCTTCTCTAAACCCTCTCCAGGTTATCCACATCCCTCTTGAAGTGCGGCGCCAGTTGATCCTATCAGACCATTACAATGCTGGCTTGACCAGACCTACAAGAAAAGCTATAAACATCTGATACCACTACTACCACCACCATTTTACAGAAAGAAAAGATCTAAAATCTATGAACCTGATTGAGTGTAACATGCAGTGACTTCGGGCATCTACGTCCTTTTCCAAACAGCAACCTAGAACTGTCACATAATTTGCTCCTTGTGGTGAAATTCAAGGTAATGGTATACAAATGCCTGTACTGAGGGGGCACCAGTGACAGTTTGCTGAGAGGAAAAAGTAGACAGACACTGACATTTAGCAGCAGCAAGCATGAAAGATCATCCACATCCATCTTATTTAAACTTAACATAGCTGGAGTTGCAGTCAAAGCAAGATCTACTTTCACCAAAGCATCTCTTCATCAGTGTGACCATGGTGCCTAACAACATGGATTTATGCTAAAGACCATTTATTTCATACACCTGCTGTAATGTTCATTAACCAGTTGCACCTGTCTACCAGATCACTCTGTGCACAGAAACATGAATATTTCCCTCTTGTGAGACTAGAGGATGCAAGAAGGCTTACTGCTAATATATCTTTCAGAACAAATGCATTCTGGCAGCAAGTGATCTATGAACCTAATCGGTACAGCAGCCTCCTCACCCAGGCTGTATCTGAGATACTCATGTGGCCCAGGTCACCTTGATAGCTGAGTGTCTCACAACCTTTGTGTAGTTATCCTCCCAACACTCCTTGATGGACAAAAACACTACTATCCTGATTTACTAGGTGGGAGAACTGACTTGCACAGGGATGATGAGCCAGACTTTTTAAAGACAACACCCACCAAAATCTCTTAAAATTCTGATTTCTAAAGTACTTGGCTTGCATCACACAGGAAGCCTGTGGTGGAGCAGGTTTCCTAAACCCCCAGCCATCACAACCTCTGGGATGTCCTCCCACATACTCCTTGCTTATTGTCATAGGAGTAACTCAGCAAGGCAGGCAACAGAGAAATTCAATCTTGTCAAGAATGCTAGTCTTAATGAACCTCTGAAGAATTGAAAATCTCCTTGGATCATGTCGGAACCCCATTTAGTGACCCCTGACAGAGTAACTTTTAGAAATTGGTTTACCATCACGTGAACCACTGCATGTGCGTGAAATGGGGTTTTTGGAGAGGGCCTCTTTATTGGCAATTTGTGGAGCAAACCCCAGCCTACTTTGTCTATATTCTGCAAAATTTCCATAGTGTTTGCTGTATTTGCAGAGGGTTAGGCTTCCTTTTCTTTCTCATGAAGGCCACCTGTGAACCAAACAGCTGAAGCATCCCACTGAAATAGCTGACTCTTCAAGCTACAGCTAACACAAGGATCTGTGCTCACTTAGGGCATAACTGTGTGCAAATTAAAGCTAGATAAAACCAGCTATGAAGTGATTACACATTTTCCAGCTCTAACTTTTATAGCTGGATGGACCTTTCTATGGCATGATAGTTAGTTTGCACATGCAGCCTGTTTTAAATAACTTTCACAATTAACCAGTTAAATTGTATAATGCAGGTAACATGTAGAGGGGGCCTTATTTGCCTTTCTAACAATATAAAGTTCTGCCCCAAAGAGATGGCATTCAGGCTTGAGGTTGAAGTAGAGTTGGGTTTGGCCTGAGTTAGGTAGCACTGAGCACTAGAATTCTCCCTGCAGCAGCTGATTTCATATTAAATATATTTTTAAAGTGCATCTGACATAAGGGATTCTCTGAAATTTGAGGAGGCTCAGCTTGCAGGTTCTGGTTTTTGCACCTCTCAAATTATTTGGGCCATTATCTGTTTATTCTGTTGCTGGCTGGCTATTCATTCACAGGAGCATGATGGAGAGTGGCTGTGAAACACACTAACAATAGGATATGCACGCATTTTATTTGTCCAAAATGTCTTGGGCTGCAGTCCCTGAACAGAAAAAAGAAATGTAGATTGTAAAGTGGGGCAGAGATGATCCTTCTGTCATGTATATACAATAGGATTCTGATGCAGGATGAAGGCTCCTAGGCTGCCTACACATGTGCTTGGAGGTAAGGGAGGGGGCATTTTAATTAGGGCGGTTCCCAGAGAAACACTTTAATTAAAACAGCTCACTGTCGCATGCATTGAGCCCCACCATGTTTCAAAATGGCTGTGGGGGTGCTTTAACTAAAGCTCGTTTGTGTTTCAATTAAAATGCCCCCATGGCCATTTTGAAATGCAGCCAGGATTAATGCATATGATACTTAGGCGCTGCTAGAGCATTTTAATTAGAAAGTGAAAGAGCAAGTCTATAGGCAACCCTAGGTACTACTGTTACATAGCTTCCACTGGTTCTATTTATCTTGCTGAATAGTCGATGAGAACCTAATCTAGCTACATCTTAAAACTGTAGGTGACCACTGCTGATTTAATTTCTCAGGTCTCTACACTGACCACTTCCTGCTGCACCCAATTCTCCTCTTTCCCCTCTCCTCAAATAAAATGCATACTGGGTTGTATTAACAAGAGCATTGCCTGCAAACCAAGGGCAGTGATTCTTCCCCTTTATTCATAAGTGGTAAAGCCTCACCTAGAGTACTATATGTTTGGGTCACCACCCTTAAGAAGGTGTAGAAAAACTAGTCTGGCAGAGAGCAACAAAATAATTTGAGGTCAAGGAAACATGGTTTATGAGGATAAATTGGAAGAACTGGGATTAGCCTGGAGAAGAGAAGATGGGGTGGGGGGAATCCATCTTCAAATAGCTGTAGGGTAGTTATAAAGACAATGTTGATACACTGTTCTCTGTAGCCACAGAAGACCAGACAAAGAGTAAATGTCTTAATATCCAACCTAAAATTACTCTTGTTACAATTTAGGAAGAACTGATTAAGTGTGAGGAACAGATTACCTAGAGAGAGAGAGTGGAATCTTTCCTCTTGGAAGTTATTAAAGAACAGGTTAGGCAAACGCTTGGCTGGAACGGTTTAGATGGGAATGTTCCTACCTTGATCAGGGAGCTGGACTAGGTGACCTCCTGAAGACTGTCCAACCCTATTTTTTGTGGAATACACTACCAAATGTCTTGATCTGTCTCAAACTCAATCAGAGGCTTCTACACTTGAACAGCAACTTTTTGAAATACAAGAGTGGCACTTGGACCAAGCATATTGCACGAGTGCTGAGATTTGAGGTGTCAGTGTCTGAAACTCAGGCACTGGTTGCCCAACATATACTTGAGTAGCTAATTCAGGCTTCCAAGGCTGAAACTATCATCTTGAAAAGTCCTGAAAATCCCTTTGTAGGTTAAGGTTTAATTCAGACTGGCTAAATGCAGATTCAGCTTTCATGAAAACAACTTGCACAGCTTGATCACACACAAGATCAGGGAGATGGCAGGATAGATCAGTTTGAGTCTGTTCTTCTCCCAGTGATGTGCCAAGACAGCTTTTTAGAGATGGTCTGTTGAACACTATCCACAACTCTGATACTATCCCCAAAGTGTGGAGGTAAGGAGTGTTGGTTGATGCAATAGGCTTGCTTTGATGGTTTTAGCATGCTATTTTCTGTGAGGTGTTCATGGGAATGCATACTTCAAATGTTGCTGTAGACGAGATGCCTACTTTGTGCAAATGTTTGCCTGCTTTTAGAAAATCAGGTTATTTCATAGACATTAGGGCTGGAAGGGACCTTGAACATCAAGTCCAGCCCCCTGCCCCAGGGCCAGGAAGTCAGCTAGAGTCAAAGGATCCCAGCAAGATAAGCATCCAAATGTTTCTTGAATGAGTCCAGAGTAGGTGCCTGCACCACTTCCGGAGGGAGTCTATTCCAGGCCTTGGGGGCATGTACAATAAAGACGTTTTTCCTTATGTCCAGCCTAAAACGGTCACAGAGGAGTTTGACCGTTGGTCCTTTGTTATCACTTAGGGTGCTCTGGTGACCAGACATTCCCCCAGATCCTGATGCACACCCCTTACGTACTTATAGGCAGCCACCAGGTCACCACTGAGCCTGTGCTTTTCCAGGTTGAAGCGTCCCATAGCTCTCAGCCTCTCATCATAAGACCTATTCTCTTGCCCTCTGATCATGTGTGTGGCTCTCCTGTGGACTCTCCCAAGTTTCTCAACATCCTTCTTGAATTGTGGACCCCAGAACTGGATGCAATACTCCAGCTGCGGCCTCACCAAGGTGGAGTACAGCAGGAAGATGACATCCTGAGATTTACTTAAGAAGCATCTATGGATGCAAGCCAGAGTTTTGTTTGCTTTACCCAGCTGCGGTATCACATTGGTGGCTCATGTTCATCTTGTGGTCAATCATGACCCCCAAGTCTCTTTTAGCCGTGGTGCTAGCGAGTGTAGCACTGCCGAGCGTATAAGCATGCTGTGGGGCTCCCCCCCACACGAGGTGGAGTACCTTGCATTTTTCGGTATTGAACGTCATCAGGTTTATATCCGCCCACTTACTAAGCTTATCCAAGTCAGCCTGGATCACTAGCCTATCCTCAGGCTGGTGGACGCTATGCCCCAAAGCTTAGTGTTGGCGAACTTGGCCGGTACGCTTCTGACACCAATGTCCGCATCGTTGATAAAGATGTTGAAGAGAACTGGTCCAAGGACAGAGCCTTGGGGGATGCCACTGGCCATGGAGCGCCATAATGATTCTCTTCTATCGACTACTACTCTCTGGTTCTGACCTCGGAGCCAATTTCCGAGCCTGTGGTGTAGCCGAGGCCACAGTTGGCCAATTTTTCCATGAGAAGACCATGGGACAAAGGGTGGAAAGTAAATCCTGGGAATTATTGAAGTTTTGCAGACACCCAACACCAAAAGAAACATGGAGTCCTTTTATTTTTGTTTCTTCCTCATTTCCTACTCCCTAACCCCTTTTTTTAAAGCAGACTCCTGATATTTAGGGAGATGGATATCCCAAGTTGATTTAAAAATGCCCTCACAAAGAACTGTTCTGAACTTTTCTTCCGAAAGGGTTTAACTAGCACAACCGAAAATGCTCTAAAGGGACAGCCCTTCCTATGAAAGGGAGGCTACTGGACTTGGGTTAGCTGGAAGTTTGCATACACCTTACAGTGAGGGTTACTTTTCTGTCTTTTATCTCTGGCTTATTAACTTTGAAAGCTAGAGAATTCAACAGAGTTAAAGACTCTGAATAACCACCCAGCTCTCTCCTATCAAATTTGGAACATGCACGGCAGACAATAACACAGGAGCATAAGTCAATCGCTAAATAAGCTAAAAACTTGTTATTTTTCCTTCTATTTTT